GCAATATGTAAAATGGAATATGAACTTCCAGAAACAGTTGTTGCTCATATTTGGCCAAGAAGTAGAAACACGTAGATATATAATTAAATAATATGGAATAATGCTTAATACTTCAAGAAATTTAAACTGTCAGGTTGAAAACATTGCCAGAAAAACACTGTTGCCCAGAGGAGCTGTGGCTGCCCCATCCCTGGCAGTGTTTAAGGCCAGGTTGGACGCAGCTTGGAGCAACCTAGTCTGGTGGAAGGTATTCCTGCCCATGGCAGAGTTTTGAAGCTGGATGAGCTTTAAGGTCCCTTTCAAACCAAACCAGTCTCTAGTTCTACGATCAAAGGGCTTTTACATGAGGAAAAGCAAATCTTTCCAGTAAGAAGAAAACTGATAGAGGTGGATGGAGAAACACTTGGATCTTCAGTTTTCTTTTTCACCACATAAAAAGGAATTCTAAGACAGCAATACTATTCAAGCAATGCAGAAGGTATTCCGCACCCTTCCTAAAAGAAAAGGCGAAAATGTGCATTCCCTTCTTCAAGTGCCAGTATCAGAGGCCCAATGGGAAAAATGTAAGCATGTGAGAAGAAAGCAGAGCTCAGTTTCTAGTTATCCTGCTCTGCAAGACCACTTAAATATATTTCTCAAAATTTTCAGTTCTCTGTGGGCTGAAGTAACATGCAGTGTATACTTACAAATTTGTGGAATTCCAATCTCAACTGTTATTTCTCTAGAGAATGCTCTTGTTGAGAGAATAATTGGCAAGGAAAGTCCATTTTCTTTTAAACTAAGCCTGCAAAACCATTCCACTCGATGTCATGGGAGTTGTAGAGTCTTCCGTTCTTGTGTCATAGCAAAAAAAAAACCCAACCAAAAAACTCTAGTTCACATTAAACCTAGTCTTATACCTAACAGAATGTACATATATATATATATATATATAAGTATACCTAACAGAACCATTCTGAACACAACGTAAGACAATGAAGAGTCCTCTGACTCAACATGTATTTATCTGTAAAGTCTCCTATGCAAATCTGGGTGTGAAGCAAGTTTATTTTCTAAATAGATGAAGGATTTTACAGGTTTGATGCTGTTCCGCAGTGATTGCCATTGTTAATTCTCTGCTTGCGTATGTTTGGGAAAAGATGAGCTTTAATCAATATGATATTGCAGTTGATGTAAGTTACTCTGGCTTTATAAACAAAGGAGGTCTCCTAATCCTAATTTTGGTTGTAAAATCATATGAACTTGGTTACTTGGACTCCAGACATTGTTGTCTGTGTCTACAGACACAAGTTATCATGAGAATGAAGCAGATAGATAATTAAATAACATAGTGTTGATTGTGAAAAGTCTTTGTCACTGAAAGATGAATACATATCACTTGAATACTACTGTTAGATACAGAGCAGTCTTACTTGTATTGGTGGTTTCCCCCATCTCCCAACTTTCCTATTGAACAGGTGGGTCCTTTTTCAGAAGGAAAATATATCTTTTTTTTCATAATAGTTTCTGTTGAAAATTAAGGTAAAAGAATATCCATATATGATATATGTTCTCATTATCAATCTGCTTTACCTGGGAAGTCAGTTGTATAAAACATGGTTTAATTAAAAGGGGGGAAAAAAGAGGTATATCATTTATAACTAACACGTAAAGCTAGGGTTTGCTTACAGATCAGTTGTAAGTATAAAGGATTTACTTGTTATGAGACTTGTAGCTTTCCTAAATGGATTTTTTTTCTTTCAGTATTTATTAAAAAATGGTTGATCTAATATTATGGGGGTTAATGTCTATTTTCTGCACTGTGTGAAATAATTCTTTTGTCATGATTTTATCAGTTTAATTCAAATTTTGGCATCAAAAGCTCAGGGATTCATCCAATTGGCTTTATTGTTTTTTGGTTTTTTTTTTTCCCCCCCACTTGTTCTGTTTAACATTCCTGTTTTGGGAGAGATTATTTGACTTGCTCCACTTCCTTTGGAGCTGGTGGCACAAGAGCTGGGAAAGGCTGTTCTGCAATGGTAACTGGTAAAATCTAATTCCCGCTATGTCTGAAATTGTGAATGCAGTGGGCAAATTGGAAGTCATACATCAACTGAACCTTCTGCTCCTGTTTTGTTTCTACTTAAAACAGGATATTGTACCCATTTAATTTGGGATATTAATAAATTCCAGCATATCAACTACATGATAGGTTTTGAGTCTTACAATGGTATTTATAGTAGTCCATCCTACATGAAAAACTTCAAAATATTCAATGTTAATTGCTATTATTTCTTCTGGTTAGGTAACATTTTTAATAGTAATAAAATCATATCGTTCCAACTATTACTCTCTATGAGGCTTCATTTTTTAAGCATCCTAAATCACAAGGCACTGAGTTACAAGATTATCAAAGCTCAAGTTGCAGAAATATGCCCAAAGATATGGTTGGAAGGTGAGATAAGTATGGCTAAATTAGGGAATTTTTCTATATTCAGAACTACTAAATGAAGTCCTCCTTGTGCTTAGCTGAAAGACAGCTGGAGTAATAAGTCACCGAAGGAGAGCACTGAGGGAAAATACGTTTGATGTTTGTATTTTAAATGTCTTTTTGCTTCTCGGTAGTGATTTTGTCAGATCTGAAATCTGAAGAGGGTAGAGTTCCAACTGCAAATCTCACATTCATTTAGGCTCTGTGTTTATTATTTTTTTTAAACTGTGTAATGCTGCTTTAATAAGGAGAAAATGGGTCAGGGCCTGTTAGATATTCAGTGTGTGGGTGGGAATCCTTTGACGTGCTTTCTGGGGAAGCCTCTAACTTGGGAATTGCTGCTGAGAATCCAGGAGAACAAGATAAAATTCAGTCAGCACCAATATACATATATGTTACAAGTAAACCCTTTCACGCCCACTGAAAGGGAAAGGGAAAGGTTAGAGAGGTGACTGAAATCTGACAATTAACCAATATCACTGCAAGCTTTTAAGTATGTGAATCCTATGCAAAGCCTACACAGAAGAGACAGTATGTTCTTTGTAATTCTCTGAGCAGAATAAGAAAGTGAGCCCTAAAAGTAAGGATAAATAGTCTAAAATTTCTCATGTGATTTAACTACCTTTTTATTGTAGTTCTAAAGTGATTTTGAGGTGTGATGGTGCTTGTGGGTTTAGCTTTTACAGTTGCGCTAAATTTACGGGAAAAGTGGGATGGAACCATCAGCTCCATTTTGTATGTTGTGGGGAAAATAGAACACATTTTGTCCAAATCTAGGGGAAACAGAACTACTTTCAGTTGCAATAAGCTTATTTGAAGTGCTTATGAATTCTAGGTGCGTGTGTTATACATGTAGATGCTTTTGTTTCTTCGTTTAAAATGTTCTTCACTGTTTATGTCCATGTTTCAGGATGCCGGGTGCCCACCAAAGCTGTGTTATCACTCCCATCCACAGTAGGATGGGGACAGGAGATTCAGCAAAAGGCTTGTACATCAAGATAAGGACAGGGAAAGATAACTCGGCAGTTACTGTTCAGGGGCAAACAAGGCTCAACTTGGGGAAATTAGTTTAATTTATTACCAAACTAAATCAGAGCAGAATAGTGAGAAACAAAACCAAATCTTAAACCATCTTCCCCTCACCCCTCCTGTCTCATAGGAGCCCCCTGTTACCAAAACCTTGCAGTGCAATCCCAGTACAGCTCAGCATCATTCTTAAATAACTGACCATGTTAATCAGCTGAGCTAAATGTTGCTGGATTGTTTTCTTAATTTTCTTAAGTCATATGCTAATAGTCTGAATTGTTATTTCAGTCATATACTCACAGTTACCAATATCGCATCTCTTCCAAGCAATTGGGAAAGACCAGTTTATTGTTTTCATTAGGGATTTTAGATGAGGAAGCTGCAGTGGAGTGACTAACAGACAGTATTGTACTAAGACCACTTCGTTTATATTCTGTTGGGTTATTTCCTGGGTAAATCAAGAGATAATAGGAACAAATGATGATGGCTCTTCATGAAGACTCTATTCTTAATTGGTCTTCTAGCAGAAAAATTTATTTGTTCTAAATATAATATAAAAAACTTCTAACAATTTATATTTGTTTACTAGAAGCAATTTCTATGCATGTACATATACACTGAGCAACTGCAGGTGCCTTGTGTGCCCATACTGCTGTCCCCAGTTACCTTCAACTCTTTTCATGTATTTTAATTGGGAGGCAACAGCAAAAAGATGGAAAACCCAAATTATGGTGTAAAAATGCACAGTAAAAACCACATACTTTATATTATAAAAATATGGTTTAATATATTTACCGTAATACATAGTGTGCGTAGTATGTTT